GTCATAGGTATTTATTATGAGACAACTGAAAAAAAAATTATTTTTTCATTTTTACATTGAGCTTTAAAGCCATACGGTTAAAAATGCATTTCCTCACTATCTCCTACTTCATGAGAGATAGCTAAGAAATGCATTTTTCTGTTGACTGAAAAAAGACTTCATTGCTAGCGAAATATCTTTGTTGTGATTATTCTTGTTTTGTTGATTCGTTCGTTATTATTTTTAGTGAATGAATTTTTTTTTTCTATAGCTAAAACCAGAATTCAAAACGAGCCCCTGGTCAAGATTTCTGTCCCTTGACATGAGCCCGATTCCAACTGGTCCAATTCCGAGCATCCGTCCAAACACAACAGGCGAAGGTTCAACTACAACAAGCACACTTCCAAGCACTACAAGCACACGTCCAAGCACTACAAGCACACGTCCAATCACTACGACCGGACGTAAAACTACTACGAGCGAGCGTCCAATCCCCAGGAGTGAACCTATGAGCTTCAACGATGAATCCTCCGGAACGGGACAATCGACTTGGGTGATTGCTCCGGTGATTGTGGCTTTCCTTCTTGTGTCGTGTATGGTGTTCTTCATCTATATACGACGAAGAGCCCGACGAATGCACCAACAGTCAACCGTTTCATTCAAGCAATTTTTCTCCCCCGAGATGCAAATCAATGAGGGGTCTGAGGCTTTTTGAGACATTAGCTTTAATCCTTGCACTCCAGTCGCCACTTTACGCAGCACGACACTGTAGCAGGGATTATTTTTGTACATGCTAGATTCAATTTGTAAACGTATGAAAGCATATATTGTGAAATATATTCAGTTTGGAGAATGGACATCAAACTAAGACCAGAAAGTTGGAAGTCTATATCCTGGCTATAAACACGTTGAGATGCTCATTAATATTAATAAATTATATGCAATATATTATAATACACTATAATTTTCTGCATGGTGTATTTAATTCTATCTATCTAATTTAATTCTTAATTTAAGGCATAGCTCTGTGAACATTTCTTACCCTCAGCCGTAGATATATCAGTCCATTTTCCAAGTAGAAGTCGACATGCTAAAGTCAGAATCGATAAGTAATATGCCTCTTCGATGTAGAAAACTCCAGCCTTCATAACTCAAGCTCGTTGCCACGAATACAAAGAGTTCTGCATACAATTCACTGCTACGGTCCTTCTGTTTGCTGCATTTCGTATGTTGTCAAGTTATTCCATGGATCTGTCATGCTTAAGGATATATCTTAAAGATCCGCTACTACTTGTGCTGATGATGAAGTCCAGTTCACTCTAAAGTAAAAAATACTACAAGCAAACCCAGGAATGAGTAAACGATAACCTCTGCAATCGAGGTGAGGGGTTTTGGGAGCCTTATTCTTTTCACTTGTATAATTTCCTCACCACCATATAATGAAGTGGTCCTAATAAATCTTAAAATAAGGTGTCGGAATTCAGCCTTGCCATTCAGTCTCGTGACACTATTTTGACCTCGAAATTTCTCTCAGACAACCAACAACTATGATGGACAACTCCTTTCTACAGCCCCAGATATACCTACAAAGGCTGGGTCCTCATTCTCACGAGACATCAGAGAGTCACTTCCAGCTGAATTGGTGAAGCTATGGTCGCGCTTCAGTTTCAAATTTGCTGAAAGAAATGCATACATTATTTCCTCTAAGAGTTACGGAAAATCTCATAATTCTGGCGTTCTAACTGAAGCGACTCTCTAGGAATGTTGTCACAAATTTTGCCCTAGAGAGAAAAGTGACATTTGGGGAGAAACTGCCATCTTTGGTTATATTCAAGCTCGAAAGGAGTAAGGGCCTACCGTCTCTGAGTTAAGATGCATGGAATACGTTTTGGAAAGAGCCAACAACGAAGATTCCAGCCAGAATTTCGTGATGGGAGATGCCGAAGTCCATCGGTGATGATCGATCGGCAAAGATTTTTAAAAGCGCATTTTCACGTGCGCGGTGGCGCGAATCGACGCGATTCGACTCGCCGGAACGTCCGTCTTCGGGAGTCACTTAATGGGCCTTATCTGAATCCGCTGATGAATATGGCCTTGGCTTTCAACGACCATTCAAGGCCTTGCCGATCTGAGAGAGATGCGTTACAAATCGCTTTTCTTCCTTACCGTGATTTCATCATTTCAATAAATGGTATTTGATTTGTTGTGGAACATACCTTATTTTTCGATGAAAAGGGTACTTCATGAGAACCGTTTAATTTCTTTCTCATTTATTCGTTTGAGTTCAACAGCTGTCAGTTAAATTCTCTCGAAACGCTCTATAAAATTTTTAAATTCGGTCAGAATCGGTGCAGAATTAAAAAAGTTATTCCCAAATCAAATCGTTACGATTCGTTGGAACACCCAGTATAGCTCACGCTGTTGATTTGAATGTCTGATCCACTCCGCAATCTCCATGCTTCATCATCCACTCTAATGGGCAGACATGCCTCCCAATGATTTCATCTGGTTCCCTCAGCTAAATACTGGGGAAAGGAAGGAGATTTTAGGAGAGTCAAAGAAGCATTACAAACGAGAAGCGAGCACTGCCTTCGATTCCAAAATGCGAGTACCAGCGATGTTTGCCGCAGAGGATGAACCACTACAAAAATTGTGTAGATGCCAAAGAGGACTACTTCGAAGGTCTACATCAGGAGATAGAAAGAGTCACCACAGCATGATAAAAAATTCAGTCTCTGAACCTTTTGATCAAAGTATTGTTTTCCCGTATCGCAGTCACCTCGGTAGAAAGCAAATAAATCAGGTGAAATATAGAGGGTGCAACAATAGTTCTTTTAGCAATTTTGAAAAGTTTATGATGAGAAATTATGTATGCTTTTATTTATTTTTAGGCAATTTTTAAAATCCATCTCTTTCTATAATTTACTGGAAATTTCATCGAGATCAGTCGTAACTCAACCAAATTATGACTAATCAAGGTCAGCATGCTGTTGTTGCTGAACTGCATCTTCAAGGAGTTCGTGTTTGTGACATCTCAAAAGCAGCTTGGTCTTAATGCCTTCAGTGTGCCGAGGACTATGCGTCCTTCGCATCGTAAAAGAGGTCATCCGGCTACAGCAGACACTCAATGGTTGAGAAACATCATTCACAACAGAAGCAAGCGAAATTCAAGGCGGTCGATGATAAAGATACAAAGGGTGATTCCATGTCAATCCGTACACTTTTTCCCCCGACCCCCTCCAATTTCTATTCGGCATGCTCATAGTACCTATTGAGAAAACAAATAACAGCAAATTTCAGCTCCATGTATTATGTATTCTGAGAATGACAGAGAATAAAAAATTCGACAGTTTTGGGGCACTTCGATCCCAGAGATCACAATTCTCATCATAACTCTCTCAATAATGAAATTAATACGTGAATATGGTATCGTTGGATAGGTTATAAAATTCCCTATCAGATGATATGTAACACATTGATAAACAATTATGACCTTGCCCTACAGGTTCTGTAATTATCTTCAAACTTGACTTGACCAGGACCTAAGTTCACACACTCGATTTCGCTAACAATTTTAGGATATTCTTTGCCATATTCTCCTTTATGTACACCGTAAATTTCATTTTGGGTACTTGAATATCAACAGAGATATGATCATTTTAGTGCTCGACCTTCATAGCATGCAACGGAACTACACGACATCAGAGCCATGGGCTCGTACTTGCGCTTCACTTATCACTAGTCAACCAATCGTCCGCAAAGCATCTTGCGGGAAAATCTTCGAGACTTGCATCAAGATGAGCCCATAGTGGTCATCGTTCGAAATCTGGGATGTCGAAGTGATCAGCAAGCGCGTCATTCTGTGTCTCAGGAATGAGCACTCCCGTTTGGTCGATGAGGACCCGTCGTACCGATCGGAAGGCGAAATGCGGACCTAACGCAGTATCGACACTGCTAAGAACGATTCTGTTTTTGATGTCGATCAGCAGGTCAACTTTCCGGTTGAATTCCTCAGCACTCTCGGTCTTCCGGGTCTCCCTTACGGGGCTCCGCACGCCCTCAACCTTGAAATTGGAGTCATCGTAATGATTCGGCGGAATCTTTGGATCGGGAACGGCCTTAGCATCTGCACACATATAATCGTGAGAGACATGAATGCAAATGTCATATAGGTCGAGATGATTATGGATGCGTTTCGTGCCAGCGTTCATTTGCCTTCAAGAGTTTTATTGGACACGTCATCCGACGTAAGCATACCTTTCGATCTTTGTCGACGTCGATTCTCTATCGAGCCTGCCTACGATTTGACTATAAACAAGTCTCAGGAACAGATATTTTATCAAGTCGGAATACTACTTCCTGAATGAGTATTCACGCATGGACAATTGCAAATTACCTGCTCGCGAGTTAGCTCTGAGGATTCACCGAAGATTCAAGTGATCAATTGACTAAAGCAAGGCAAAACTGTTGCTCTGTTACAAACAATGCTGTCTATGAGGAAGTACTTATTTGACCGTCATATCCATTCACAGGGACTATTTTTTTCCATTGTGAAAGAAAACCATTTAATTCCAACAAACGTCGCGTTTCTGGATCTTTCAGGGTCCCAGAGGATCGAGGAAATTTCCTTTTATCTTTCCTTGTCCTCCTCCTCATCCTCAGTCGGCTTCCTGTCCCTCAGCATAAAACATCTTTTGCAAATCATCTGCTTCAAAGAAGCTGCATCCACACTTTCAAAGATTGTGAAATTTTTTTAGGGAAAGAAAAACTCATTTTAAATGTATTTTATTTGCTCTTTCTCTGTTTACTTCTGAACAAGAAAATACATACCTTTATTACTAAGTTATGTTTACTTCAGGCACAATATATTGGGTTGGAAAGAAAGTCTTGCAACACTTTCTAAAACTATACAATTTTTCAAAGGAATGATGGGCGGGGCTTTGCATTTGTATATGCTGGAATGTTCTCGAAGCTTCTGCCCTCGTGGTATATAAGGCGGCTTCTGCCATTAGTTTGCAGCCATGGCTCCGATCGAAGAAGCAACTCTTCGCCCCATCCTCTACTACGAGTTCCTCCAAGGACACTCTGCGAGAGCCGCCGCGGACAACATCTGCGCTGCATTCAAGGGCAACGTCGTCCACTATTCCACGGTGTCTCGATGGTTGAAACGCTTGGAATCTGGCGACACGACCTTCGGAGATCGACCACGCTCAGGACGTCCATCTACAGTCGATGACGAAGCCCTGCGGAACGCCCTCAACGCGAAGCCGAACGCCACCACTCGCGAATCGGCGACTACACTTGGAGTCACCCATATGGCCATCGGCAACCATCTGAACGACCTCGGCTATCGGAAGGTTTACTCGACATGGGTCCCTCATCGGCTCGGCGACTCTGACAAAGCAAGCCGTGTCAGTGTCTGCGAATCACTGCTCCTTCGTCCGCACAGAAAGGACCTTCTGAAGGAAATCGTTACTGGAGATGAGAGCTGGGTCCTCGACGTCGACCATACTCGCAAGAGTCAGTGGCTTCCACGAGGAGAATTGCCGCCACACGAACCGAAACCAGGGTTCCACGAGAAGAAGGTTCTCCTCTGCCGTTGGTGGGATTCAGAAGGAATGTTGTACTATGAGCTCCTGCCAACCGGTACCACCGTGACTGCCGTCGTCTACGCTGCTCGACTTCAGAAGTTGGCTGGCGTCATTCAAAAAGAGCGTCCCAAACGCGACTAAGTTCTCCTTCCGCATGGCAACGTTCGTCCACACGTTGCGAAGATGACTCACCAGACAATTTCGGAACTGGGCTGGAAAGTTTTACCCCATCCAGCGTATTCTCCGGACTTGGCCCCTTCCGACTATCACTTGTTCCGGGCCCTCAAGAATCACCTGCGGGACAAGGCCTTCGACGATCGAGCACGGCTCGAAAATGATGGCCGTTTCTTCGCTTCGCAATCGCCAGAGTTCTGGGCAAAGGGCATCGAGCAGTTACCCGTGCGTTGGGAACATGTAATAGACAACAATGGTCATTACATTGTAGACTGAAATTGCATTTCAATAAAGTTTTAAAATTTTTGAAAAATTTGCGCAGAGTTGTTGCAAGACTTCCTTTCCAACCTAATATATTTGTCCGATGGTTTGCATTTTGGAAAAAAAACTCGATATTACGTATTTCATTTCATAAAATGGCCATAATTTATTAGAAAAAGTTATGGAAAGAGAAGACTCAGATGATCCATAAAATGAGGGAAGACATGCATTAAATGAGTGAATACTTAATCATGAAATGGAACCAAAACCCTACATGTTTTTTCCTGCAAATAATAATTTTAGAATTTTAAGCATACTTTCCTCTGCTATTTTTCAAGATATTTTAATGAAAATATTTTTTTAGAGTTTGCTAAATATACATTATCAAGACTAAAACCAAGAAAATTGAAATGACGAAATCACTGACCAATATAAATCAAGATTTGGAAAATACACTTGATGACTCTAGATGGAGATTGATCTTTATAAAAATAAGTAAGTCATGCTTTTCAAGTGGTGCCGTGATTAGCCGGCGGTCGTTCCAGAACTCAAGAGTATTGATAAGACTGCATTTTCAGAGCTCGCTTAGACTTCGGCCCGGCATTTTCCTTATCTGAAGCAGGCAATGTGTCTACCGGTTGACCTCGAGTTGCTGGAGTGGAATACTTCGAGTTCATTGTACCATTGTGCTTAAATGTGTCAGTCTACTTGGGAAACCATCTGGTAGGTGCTAAGGGGAAGATGGGTGTGATTTCCGAAGTCCCGGCCGAGGAGTGCGAAAAGGAGGGAAGAGGGAAGCGAAAAGAAGAAAGGTGGAGGATGAAATCAGAACAAAAGGACTATGGCTTCAATTTGGAATTCCTCAAGCGATTCCTCAACATCCTTAGGATCCTCTTCCCAGGATTCTGCTCCATCACATTTGCACTCTTCCTGGCTCTCCTTTTTCTCTCCTTCCTTGGTCTGTTTTTCTCTTCCTTTCTTGTCCTAATGGCTATTGAGTGTTTGTTAACTTTTTTTTTGTTATGAAGAGGAATATGTGATCTACCATGTGGGGTTGATCCCTAGTCGGTTCTACAAAGTGCTAGGAGAGAAGAATATCGGCGAATTTAAATCGGTGGCCTTCACCAGTGTGGGCATTGTCACGGCCCAGGCTTTTGTGAGTGCATTTAAATTTTCATGGTGGTGAATGATGATAATCTATCATGTATCCTGAAATTATCCAACTCTTGCGTCACCATGTGTTCAAATATTCAGTTGAAGAACGCCTCACCCGATTTATATGAATTGAATGCACCAATATGCGAGGGTGATTCAAACGAAAACAAGGAAAGTATAATTTTAATAATGCAAGTAAGTTCTGCCTTTGGCAGTGGCTGACACTTTGGTTCAGTTGGCAACTCTTGGAATGCTCAATTTATTTTTCAACAGGTGCTAGAGGTCGCCCAGTAAATTCAAAATAGTCGCGCATCTGGAAACTCACACCAAAGAAAAAATGCGATCTGTGAACAGATTATTGAAAATGTTGCGTGTCTATCAGATTGATGCCTCTGTTGCCTTGAATGAGATCCGCAACAGCGCACATCGTCTCTGCCGTGACGACGCGGTTTGCCTGTCCGGGCCGAGCAGCACCTCGTAGATCACTGACCACGTTTCTGAACTTCTGAACCCATTCATGCACACGGGCCTGTGACTTACACTCACCACCTTACATATTCTTTATCGTCCGATGTATCTTGGCTGCCTCAACTTCCTCTGGGTTCAAAAATCTGACCACAGCTTGCATCTCTTATCTGGTACAAAATTTCCTGATGCGTCACCAGATGTGGTGAATTCAAAATGGTGGCGCATCTGTTGAAAAGTAAATGAGAGCATTCGGAGAGGTGCCAACGGAACCAAAGCAACCTATCAGTACCACTGTCAGAGACAAAATACATTTGCATTATCAAAATTATTCTTTTCTTGTTTTCATTTGACCCACCTTCGTAGTTGCAGAATGATGACGTGATATAATTAAAACAAAGAAAAATTGTAATGCCTGTTACTCTATTGGTCTTGTTCTACTTGATCTCCGTGTCTATGGTGACGTGGTTCTTTCCTTGTGTGCATGCATGTGTGCTTTGTGCAGATCAAGAGTACCAAGACGTACATGTCGAACGTGTTGTCCATCTCTTGGCGCCAGCTCCTCTGTCGTGCTTTGCATGCCCTTTATTTCTCTGGCATCAACTTCTATCGTCTAAACCTCGAACCTGGAACCACTGACAATCCGTAAGAAACTCGTAGTCAATTATCATTGACTGAGTCGTGAAAATTATTGAACCTTGAAAATTATTCTGACTTTAGCAAAGCATTTAGGAAAGATTAATTCCTTTCCCGAGTTTATTTTTTTATGGAAAGTTTAAGCTAGGTCGGTAGCTGAAGGGCACGGATCCAATAATCCTGAGCCTGGATTTCACTCTTTTGTCATCTTTCTAACTTTATGGACACCATAAATGTGTCAATGAATAAGGTCCATATGTATTGCCAGTAGCTCCAATGCACGTTTATTTCGGTCCGGTAATATCAGAGAGAACAATAGAGAATAATACTTTCTGGAATACCCCTCATAGACGATGATAGAAAACTGCAAATGTTTCATCAGCCATTAGAAGGAATTCAGGGGTATGAAAGAAAGGTATAATTATGCTACAGTGAATTACCTATAGTAAAAGTTGTGAACTGCGAGAAGACCTCTTCTTATGCTTCTGAATCTTCCCCCCCCCCCACCCCCCTTTCCCTCTCTGCGTTCGTGCAGTGATCAAAGGATGACACAGGACGTGGAGAGGCTTTGTTCCGTCACCGGAGAGATCTTCGCCAAGGTCATCATTGCCCCTTTCGTCATTGCATATTACTCGTACAGGGCGTATACAAAGTGAGTTTACCGGGAACGGCATTCATCGTTTGAGGCCAATTTAAATTTCTAAATCTCCAAAGTGACTTCCTGCATTCGTGGGCGTAATTTTGGAAGGAATAATCCGCAATAAGAGCCTCTCTGTTTCTATTTTCTCTGCACTCCGTTTCTTGTTCCCTACGTTTTCTGTTCTCTTTTTTTCTAGTTCTGACTTAGAAAGAGTATATACATGCTAGTTCAGTTACGCATGAACGTTGCCGTTAAGACGGTGCAAGTCTTAGCAACGGGATTGGCAGAACTTTTCTTTTCCCTAAATGTAATGAAAGGCAGTTACGCGGTCCAAATTTCTCTGTGAAAAGATGGCGTTGCCTTTCTTGACAGCTACTCCGTAATGAGAATTAGTGGTTGAAGGAAGCTCACCCAATTTGCGATTATTTATATTAACCTGATGTTGATTGATAACCCTGACTTCCGGATACTACCTTCAAGCATCACTAAACCCTGGCGGCATTGAAAATTGCAACGATGTTCATAAATCACATAGTGTACTGGTTGTGATTTTTTTTATTTTGTAAGTAACGAGAAACTTTTGAAAATAATAAAAAAAAAACTTATTAAGAGCATAAATAGATGTAAAAAGCGAAAACTTTCCGCTAAAGTGCTAGATATCTCAGTGAAAACTGCATTTAATCAATCATAGGTCACCTGAAATCTCGTACTGTTTTGCAGTACATAGGCGATATGGAAGTAATGGAATCCATGCTTTGACAGTGCTGGCTGGGTTGGACCCACGGGAGTCTTCTTTCTCTTCCTCGTATCCACGATCGTGAACAAGCTTCTCATGAGCCCAATTGTGAAGAAAGTCTTCGAGCAGGAGAAGCGCGAAGGAGATTTTCGGTATGTTGCCACGATGCTTACTTCCCTTATTTTCAAAAAGAATGAATTTTAGTATGAAGTTTAGGCAGATTGAAGCATGCATGTCTGATTTCTTTCATTCAAGGTCATTGCATACTCAACTGAAGTAAAGAACGTGCCCGTGTTCCTTTCGTGGAAGTATTGGTAAAAAAGACAGAGCACCTGACATCGTTTTCCTACATCAGATTTCATGATTTTGGTCAGTACCGCAGGCAGCCCGCTCTACTGTAGCATACTGCCGAGCGAAATATTTTTATGACCAACCCAAGCCAAGCCATCGAATAGCTCATTCATCATTGAGTGACCATTGGAGCATGGCTTGCTGGGCGGAGTTTTGAAGAAAACTTAGCAGACTTGCCGCATGGTTGGTCATGATTCAACGTTAGTTATCACGCGAGAAGTCAAGACATTTCGTGACTGATGCTCTAGAGCAGTGGTTCCCAACCTCGGGTCGTGACCCAAATCAAAGTCGCGGGGGTCCTCAGCGATGGGGCATCGGAAGAAATATATATTTTTTTTTATTGCTGAGAATTGCCCAAAAGACTGAGGCGACCAACATATTTTCTTCTCTCCTTACCGTAGATGACGAGTACAAAAGACAAAAGTGCATTATGTGCATTTTTGTCTCGTTTCAACTTGAAGCCCTTACCTCTGATTTTGTAAAATGGCAAAACGAAGTTTACCGCACAACTACGATTTTTTAAAGTTGGGCTTCGCTGAGTTGAGGGATCGTTCTGGCTTAGTTCGCCCACAGTGTCTGCAATGCATGCAAGTATTGGCAAATGAATATTTGAAGGAAAGCAAGCTGAGGCTGCATCTCAACACTGTTCATCCGAATTTCGTCGATAAATCACTGAGTTTCTGGAAGGAGAAAGAGGCGACCGCGAAACGTATGAGACTTGATGCTCCGCAAATTCAGGGACTGTTTCGTCTGAAATCGTCTTTACGTTCAGCATGACCTGCGCTGTGCTCTCTCTATCAATATTCAGCCGAGGATAACCAAACTGACCGAGAAAATGCAGCATTAGGATAGCAACTGAATTTCAAAGGACTTCTAACGTCTCCACATGAAGTGTCTCATTTTCATCAAAATTATTTGTCGATATGGGTGTCTAGGCTAAATGGGGATTTCTGAGAAATATTTAAAGCATTTTTTCGTTTCAATTAGCATTTTTGAATGTTTTCACATTAATTTTTGCATGTGATTGTCCTACTGATGATGTTTAATGTGCATTTGTATGCTCCAAGACATTCAATAAACATGATTTGTACCTGAATTCCCGAAAAATTTATTTAATTTTAAATAATTAATACATGAATATAAATAAATAATAAAATCAATAAAATTCATGTATACGTATGTAATTTTCTATTTATATGCATATTTGAATTTCATCAAAAGCCTGAGGGTCACGAGGTCCTGTCGATGCCCAATTTAGGGTCGCGGCAAGAAAAGGTTGGGAACCACTGCTGGTAGAGGGAGGGAAACGTGGTTGTCACTTTAGGGTATGTAAATTGTGTAGCAAAAGAAAAATGTGTGTTTGCAGATTCAAGCACATGCAGATAAGAGTGAACAGTGAGAGCTTGGCTTTTCACGGCTCATCCATCCTGGAAGCAAGGAAGACGAACGAAAAGCTGGATGTCCTTCTCAAGATACAGCAACAAAAGTTCAACCGCCAATATTTCCTGGACCTTGCAGTGAGCTTTTTTGACTACATCGGGTCCATTGCCAGCTACCTCATCCTTTCCGTCCCCATATTTGCCGGCAACTACGATCATCTGAACAGTGCTGGTCTGGCTGCTCTCATCAGCGAAGTGAGTTCATCGGCAGGAACTTTAGTATTTGCATGTAATCAATGGATCAACTGAATCATCATAATCAAGGCTTCGGAACTTAATTTTTTTCGTCTCGGTTTACTACAGGAAAACTTGATACAAACAAGAAATTGTTCTATTATCATGACAAACCAGACTTTTTCTTCAAGAATCCCGATTGCAAAGGAAAAAATGGTCAGGATACTTGGAACCGAACGGAACGAAATTATTCCGTTTTGTGAGTTATTAATTTCGTTCTGTTCCGGTCTTTCGTTCCTCTGCCACCAGTGAATAACTTTCCATATTCCGTTTTGTTCCATGGCTATTTCCTGCTCCCTTCCAGTTTTCTGTGCTGATTTTCATTCCGTTCCGAAGCTCTGATAATAATTAAAGGGTTGCAACGCTACCGAATCAAAATTTTTCGTTCTTGAGGAGGTTAAATCCTATTTATCCTTGACAGACATTGAGGCCATTCATTCACGGATCCTAATGCAGGCAGCAGCATATGAGAGCTTCAGCTCATCTCAGGTTTCATATTGAGGAACTGTTGAAATCCAAATTCTTCCTGAATCCTTTTGTAATCACTAGGGAGCGGATTTTTATGCGTTAATAAGTCCTAAAATATGCACATACATATGCGTTTGAAATCCAAAAAAAGCATGAAATATGAAAAAATATGCAAAACCATGTTTTTTTTGTACAATAATTTTGTGGAAAAAGGAACTTCAATGTACAGTACATTACATGCTTTTACTGAGTATGGTTGGTATTTATTTTCATAGCCAGCGGCGAAGCCAATTCGCCAATTCGCTAAAGGAAATGGATAGGGCTAGAATTTCATAAACTTCTGGAGAGGAATAATGGTAGCGGATGGATTCAGAGCAGAGTTTTGGGGGCTTCACCGCTCCAACCAGCGCATAACCGCTGGAAAATTTTCATAAGTTGCTCTTAAAGAAACATTTTCCTGGAAAACTCTTATTTTTTTAAATAGAAAAATGGGAGAAATGCCCATTTTGCACACATATGCTTAAATATGCACATATTGAGAAAAAGTTTAAGATATGCATTGTTATACGTTTTAAAAATGGCATAGATATCTTCCTCCACCAATAAGACACGATACTATCTAGGTTGTATGCTCCCGTGAGCCTGCAGAAAAAATATGCATTTCCATAAAAATCCGCTCCCTAGTAATCATCCATAAAAAGTATTGGAGCGCAGTGATCCAATATATTGAAAGAATATTAGGATTTCCAAGCAAAAATTCAGTATCTTGGCGACTTTAGCAACTGCGGTGTACTCATTTCTTTCCCCCGCGCATTTTAGTGTTGGAGATCAACGGCATTTTCTCATTTGTAAGGAGGGAAACCTTAGCCAAGGCACAAATTCGGTACTTTCGGCGAAGTTTCTCTTTGGCTTCCATCAATATATATTGTTCCATTTCTCAATAATGGGTTTGAGGAGGAAATACACTGCTTGAAATGTGTAATCTTCTTCAACATGCTCTCGAAAATACGTAACCATGCGAGAGGTGTTTGAAAGCTTCCTCTCGAGGCACATCTTGTTGTAATACATAATTTTACTTTTTCACGACACGCATCTTTTAAAAATTGATTGGCAAAATAGTTTCCCCCCCCCCCCCGTGCCACCGAAACATTTTTCCTTGAGAAAATGAAAAATTGCGACGAGGGCAATCAAGAATTTGCTCACCCTGAATAATTCGATCTCCCAGCAGATCTGTCCTTGGCGGGCAAGTCGATTAACTGTCTCTCAATCACACAAATGAGAGATCAACTCCTCTAGGATGGGAAAAAGTAATTTTTACCCTCGTCTTAATTTTTCACATTTCTTTCAGAATAACATTTTGCAGCACTCTGAACATTGCTCTCGCACACTACTGTATTATTACCAAACTAGCAGAACCCCGCGCAGATTGCGTGAAATTACAATGTAGCAATTTCCAGATTTAACCGCAAATACTTAATATCCTGAAGATGTACGGTCTAAAGGTAATGCTTTGGACTCCATCATAGAACAGTAGCTATAGAAATTTTGTCTGTTGATTTTCATTGAATTACATGAAACAATTTAGAAATTTTAGAACACGAATCTTAGAAATTGACTTACAAAAATTGGTCTGGCATTTTGAATTCAAAACCTATTGGAACACAACATTCAGTGCATAGGTGCCATAGTTGCTTGGGTTTGGGCTTCATCAGGCTCCATTCTCTATAGTCACATTTCCCTCTAATTCAACTATTTATTTTTAGCTTTTCTGGAACAGTGAATAAACGGTAATAAATGGTGGTTTTGGTGAATAAATGTTTTTTTTTCGCCAAAAAAAACGCGTAAACACGAAAAGAAACGCTCAATTTTTTTGTAAACACGTTATTTTTAGCAGTGCTGCCAACCATTTTATGGCTTTCCACTATTGAGTAAACAATTCAGCTTTGTAGTCTTATGCTTAGTTCCAGGGAGTAAATAAAGAATTCCAAATTCGTGTGGGTAAAACAGCGGTCCTTTTTCGCCATTGAAGGAACGTGGAGTTAGAGCCCTGCACAGGCTGTGTCTCGGCCCGATCGCCCCCTCCCTCCCGACCCGACCCGCGAGCCCTCCAGGGCCGAACTGTTCAACATCCATCTTCAGGTTGAGCAGGGCGGAATTTTAACATGTACAGGTTATCGTTCGTCTGGTCTGAGACCATGGAAACTCCGGGTCGTGACTGGAACCTTATTTATGCATGTAATCTGAGAGAAGGTAAATAATAAATTGTTGACAATGAATGGAAATAATGGAAGTATGATGTTTAGACGGGCATGGGACAGTTCGCGCCTCATGAGACACTTTCTCTTCCACTAAATTTTATCCTGTCACTCGACTATCGACAGCCTCTTGTTTCTAAACCTTGGAATGATGAGGAAATATACACAGGAAAATATTGCTTAAAGCTTTTAAGGTCGGGTGTGAGGTTGGGTTGGAATTCCGGTTTTGGATGGGTGCTGGCCATGACTGCAATTGGGCCGATGCCTCTCAAGATCAAAGGGTGACAGTTCCGAAGCCGTCTTGCTTTAGCCAATGACTATCGACAGGTTCTTAGAGCAAACATTGGTTTGTACCTTCCTGAGCCTGTATTTTTTCATGGACAATTGTAGTCCACGTTTTCATGAGTGTGGTACTTGTAAATCGTTGATATTAAGATAGAGCCTGGACCCCGGATACCGAAAAAATTGGCCCGTGTAAGGCTCTACCGCGAGTAGCATCATGGTGGGAAAATTAGAAAGTTTAAGATGTGATTTTGTTACCACCTCGCTCGCGACGTTCAGTCAATGTAAAGAGTCCTGGCATCAGTTCAGATACGACTCACAAAGAATATTACTTGCGGGACTTACATAGGTTAGGCCAAAACCTAATTCTCGGACCTAGACTCACTTTTTTTCTTATGATTCCTCTCATTTGGCGAAACCCTGTAACAATGCCGATCTATAGTCCCGTCTTGTGTTTCATTCCAGGTAGTGAAGAAAGAGTTCCAAATGTTTCACGGATAAAACAGTAGTCATTTTCGTTACTTCAGGAATCGGAGCTTAGAGCCCTACACGGCTTTGGCCCGGTTCGAACGCCCCGACTCGACCCGACCCCCGGACCGTCTAGGACCAAACTTTTCACGATCCTTCTTCGGGTCGGGTAGGAACGAGTCGAATTTTCCGCTGGAATTCAAGTTTCGGGTCGGTGCGGGCCATGACTTGAATCGGGCCTATCGGGTAGGTAAATCGGCCCGTGCAGGACTCTACCAGTGTAGCATAATGGTGAACATTTTGAAGGCTCGTAACTCATCCTGGGTTGAAGATATTTCAAATATGATTGCTTTATGCACCCCTCTAGACTATAGGCTTTCGAACGATGCATAATATTTCAGGATATCTATTAGCATATCGTCACAGCGCGGCTTACAAACATACATTAGCGTAATATATGAATATATATAGATATTTTGAAACATTTCCAGCAAACTTTCAAGACGTCTATCATCCCGTGTGGTATGAAAGAACGATATATTGTTACTACTAAAAGTACCTTGGACCAGAAAAAATGTTTAACTTCATCCGTCCATTCTTGATTTATCGAAGCCTAAGTAAATTCCTCCAATTTACTCCGGCCATTCAGTATCCAAATTTGATGAGAATATTTGATCATTTTCTGCGGCAAGTGTATATTCAGGCTCAGCAGAGTGCGAAAGGTATGACATGAGAGACTCCATCTGTGTTCTAGAACGCATTTGTGTGCATTTACCTGATCTTCAGCTTCAGCTCACTGGTCGACTTGTCCCCGAAAGTGGTGGACATCGCCGGAATGACCCACAGAGTGGCAGAACTCGTGGAAGAACTCAACAGTGTCCGGGATCGCAATCCTTCTTCTTGGTTATCATCCCATTCCTTCTCATTAATTTATTTCACGTGGACAGTGTACACTGATCCATATAGTTCTGCTTTCATGGTCTTGCAGGATAGGTGAGGACTGTTGGTCCCTGCTGCATCCTTCATCTTCCTCTTCGAGTGATCCTCCAATTCCAATCTATGACATTGGGAAGCTTTCGGTCGCTGTTCCATCCAGGTCACAGGTCCTCATAAAAGGTTTTGCTTCCTTTTCCATATTCGCGGACACGTACAAGTGCTTGATTAGATATATTAGGATTTTATTTGTATATAAAGACTAAACTCATCATCACAGACTACCATAAGGTGCTCAACACATAGCACCATTCATGGAGTTGCCCCTTTGGCAGATTATTGATAGGTCATTGTGATCGCCTTGCATTTCCACAAATTTCCCCAACTGTTGAGGGGCACTTGCTCTTACACACTAATACATCTCAACTTCCACCATTAAATCCTTAACTAATGCGTCCCTTGGGAAACATAGTCCTTCACGATCCCCCCACAGCAACAAATACTGCTTCACGCCCGAAATAAGTTCGTGGATGCCGTCAAATATATGTTATTCATGCTGGTTTTGACATATTTTGTTGCATACTGGAAATGTTATTCAACCGAAGTTGAATGCATGACGTTCCTCTTCGTAATTCAACGAAAAAATAAATCAAAATCAAGACATTCACAGAGAAGCATTCATGATCGGCGGAAAGTGCTACTGTTAAAACTGTTATTGCCTATGCAATACGTTGCAGACCTTATGTTTCTATTATGTTTGGTTTTAGAGATTAATTTTGAACAACGTGCCTTCATATTAATGAATCCAGTTGAACATAGACTGATGAGGCCTTTGTTTTTCATTTGCATTACCCAAACTCCTACATAAGGTCTCCATGCCACACTCAAACATTCCTCCGTCTTCACAGATCCACAATGATAACGACTTCATTCCTACTTTCTAATAGAACTGGACCTCCAGATCAAGTTAAAGAGCAACATCCTGATCATGGGACCGAGCAGCTGTGGGAAGACGAGCCTGTTGAGGACTCTGCGCGGCCTCTGGCCCCGATACTCAGGAAGCCTGAAATGCCAACTCCCCGTGACTCCAAGGCACATACTCTTCATGCCACAGAGGCCTTTCTTCACAGACGGCAGCCTCCTCGATCAAGTCCGTCTCGTGCATGGGCACATTCAATTATCTGTTTTAAAATGATCTTGCTACAAAACTCAGAATGATTTCACCTGTGATAACTCAAGTTATGAGCAAACACACAGCTGACCATGCTACATTTTCATTCGCATTCTCACTATTAGTTTCTGATTCAATATTGCCTCTTTTCCCAGGTTATCTATCCCCTCCAGGACAGAGGAAATGGGGTCCAGTGGTATGATGAAAGCTTGATTGAGAGTCTTCAACTCGTCGATCTACTTCCGCTCGTTGACAGAATCGGAGGTCTTAGGACTCCAGTCAGCTGGAACTGGTATGTACCGTGTATTTCTCCCATACAATACAAATATGTTTGATATCCTTATAAATGCAAAAACCTTCAGATGCAATCTCGCAGTCATATACAATACCCTAGCTACCGAGATGATGCGAATCAACGCTAATATTCTGTCCATGGAGTGATGACTTGGTGAAGCATCTCTTCCCCATCCTTTGTGCCAGTATTACTTGAAGTTTCATTTACCTGGGATAACTCTCTAGACACGTTTTTTGTTTTAAAGAATTATATTTCCCACTAAGTTTACATAGCATGATATCAGGAGCAGTATGGAACGGTCGATGGGACCTTCGATCGGGTAGTGGGCATTGACAATTCAGGCGATATCGAGCTGTTTTTTGTGCGAACCCCACTTTCTTCAAATAACTACCAGATGACTGGCCAGATGGTAGACACGACGTTCTTAGCCCGACACTCAAAGGACTTGACATGAAAGAACATTAAAATATTAGAAAAATATTATCACCGGGATCTGAATCTGGGTTTTATGCGATGGGAATTGAGTTCTCAATAATAACTAAAAAAGGGGGGGAGGCTGAGGAACGTCAGCAAAGAGGATTGCTTTGTTCAAAATCCAAACAGTCTCCTCACACATACAAATTATGCAAGTTACTTGGTCCCACTCATATAAGCTAAAAAAGCCTCCGAATCAATTATCGCGATAATGAACTATCAATTAACACCTGTTACATCAATGATTGCAATCTTCGTAATGGCTAGGGAAATGTTGCACATCACTACAAGAAAATGTAACCAGTCCACATTTCCTTAAGCCCAGGAAATCGGTTACGTATTTACTATTATTTTTGCCATTCCGTATCGATTATTCCCAGGTACGAGGTGCTGACTCCCGGAGAGATGCAACGACTCTGCTTCGTCCGCTTGTTCTATCATCGACCCCGGCTGGGTCTTCTCGACGAGGTCACCAGTGCCATCTCGGAGGACTTGGAAGCCGTGTTGTTCCGCCGCTGCCAGGATCTGGGCATCACCCTGGTTACCGTCGGGCACCGGCGGAGTCTGAGGGCGCACCACGACCTGGTGCTCGCGCTCGACGGGCACGGGGGCTGGACCTTGCAATCCCTTCCATCCTTAGGATAGGCCATTTTTCTGCGCATATGACTTCGCCTGAAAATAAAGGAGAGAGCTCCCTAGCTTATTACCCCAGTCAACAATTAATGAACCAGCTATCAGTGGCTCTTAATTGACACGTACACGAGCCATAACTGCACCATCATCGACACGCAGTTGAATAGTTTCCTGAAGACGGCTCGTGGTGAAACACGTCTGGTCGGGCCTTCATCTGTCCTATTGTAGCTCACTGTATCCATTGTAGCCATTTTATTCGAAAAGCTTCTAGATGGTTGTCTGAGGTTTTCGCGTGGCTCAACTCCGGGTCTCCAAGGTGTTGGGCAGGCCGTACAGGAGTCGCTAAGTATTCCGACTCATCTGCTTCCAGTTTCGGTCGATTTTCTTCATCTGCAATGGAATGTCACGACGTTTAGCGGACTTCCCCCTTTTCTTCACTCACATTGTACCGCCTTCAAAAATAACAAAAAGACTGAATGTGGGAATGCATATACATTTAGGAAGATTTATTAGCGACGAGATGGCGTGAGAGCAGGAGTCCAACTCTCAAGTTAAATTTCATCCAGTAACGTATTTAAGTTGAATTTGAAAACTACCCGCTCCGACCGGGGGGGGGGGGTGTGTGCAGTGCATAGGGTTTCAACAATTCCATCGTTTAGTGAAATTGGTCTATGTAATAATTTCCGACTGGAAATTCAATTCGATTCAAATTCACGTAACGAAATCCCAAAAAAAATCGAGAAAACGAAATCCAAGAAATCCAGAAAGTGTGTCAAAAAGCTAATCCTTTTTGGCCCCTCGATCCAATTAATTATTGCCTCCAGGTAAAAGCTTTCGATCGACACGTGACTCTTGAAAATCCGTTAATCCGTCGAGGATGAGGTTCCCGGAATGACACACACGGAGAGAAATTAACGCATGTGGATCATTCGATAAACGGAGTCCGCGTCTGCCTGATTGAGGCGGATCCATTTCCGTCGCGTGGCATTCGAATGGGACTCATCGTGCGGATTTGGAAGATGCAGGTATCACATGGAAGATGTGGGTGCTTCTCTAGAGAGGCACGATCTTCCGATTTCGAGTGGTGGCGCCTTCGATCGAAAATACGTGTTATCGTTCGCCCGATCACCTGTATACAAATATGGCCAGTGATGTCCTATTCCTGACATTCGAACGAGACCCGTCGTTGGAATTTGGAAACGCAGGGTTCGAGATGACGAATGGGAGACGCGATTCTCGTCGAAGCCGGATCCGGCTGAGGGAGATATGCTGAGATATTTCGGTTTTCGACCGGGTTTCGTCGGGTCGTGCGAGGGACCACGATCCTAATCGGATTGGGTTCGGAATCATCACCCGTGCGCGCCTCCCTCACCCGGAATGGTGAGTGACCTGGGCGGAGGGGTGCCCTGTATATGAGGGAAGAGCTCTGTGAGCTGCCCTCGGGAGGCCGCAGTATGTGCATCATCCCCCATGACCTCCTAGGATCTCCCATGACCTCCGAGGGTCCCCAATGACCTCCGACCCTTCACCCCAGCTGAGAGATCCTCCTCATTAACCCAATAGATGTATTTTGTTCTTAGCCGCCTCTCTTTTCATTCCATTCCGACACCCAAAGACTAGAGACTGAGTTATATTTATATGTTAATCCAGTAATTCAGGTTCCACATCCCCATATGAAGAGTCAAATTTCTCCCGCTTCTTCCTCATGGTTAACGAAGATAGCCGAAAGTTCTAATTTTTTCCACGAATCACCTGATGTAAATAAGTTTGTCGCTCATGAGCGGGAAGCATAGTCTTTTCTCACCCTTTCCCCCAGCTTCCGATTCCTCTTATTCCATAATAGGAATCAGAAGATCGGAGACCGAAACGGAAGACTGTCTTTCATCGATTAATCGATTCCTTGATTGTGTGCTAGGCGATCGCTCAAAGGCATGACTTTCCTTTATCTTATCAGCGGGATTCCGATTGCTGTAACCTAAGTGGCGTGACATAGGTGCCACACTCTGGATACGGCTGAGATCTTCCTCGTTTACCATCCCGCTCTTCCTTTTATTTAATAAATGCAGACTCGTATCAGCCTCGAGCTATCGTGTAGTGATTCTCAACACCAGTAGAGAGAGAAACCCACGCGGAACCGTAACGATACACCGTTTCTCTTAGTTGCCGTGCTCGTATTCGTTCAACTTTTGGTTGAAGTCGCGCAAAGCATTCACCCTCGGCTTCATATTTTAAAATATGTGTAGCAGTGTTCGATTCGGGGAAATCTTGTCGAAGTTCTGAATGCCCGACGCCACCAAAGACGGACGCGGTGAAGGAAAGTTTAACGTCGACGCGCAGAGGAGGCTGCCTCTGCACCTCTGAGCGGTCCGCTTCTGCTTTTTCAGACCGGAGGACCTCGGTTGCGAAGCAGTCGAGGTCGGGAGGTTAAAGGTGTAAGGTGCAAGGTCTAAGGTTAAAGGTGCAAGGTGTAAGGTTAAAGGTGCAAGATCCTGACCGCTGGCTAGCGACGATTGTGCGTGCAGGCGTGACGGCTCTACGGGCTAAGCGCTTCGAGATTTGAACTTGGGGTTTCGACAGAACTCTTCCTCATCGTCCGAGGATGTGCCTTTGAGAAATCAAATTTGCAAACGGCCTCACGAAAGGGAGGGGACTGAAAGATCTGATCTGGGCGCAACAGTTTCGGGACCCATCGAGCGGAAAGTTTGCTCGACTGCAATTTTTCAGTCAGAATTGTGTAAGCTGAACCAACTGAGATGTCTAGGGTGTTGGCTATTGCTTCTGCTGTTAATCGTCGGTCGTCTTCAATTAGGGCGCGAACAGCATCAATTTTTTCCTCTAAAAAATTCAACATTTTAAAAAAACTCGGCAAAAAAAAAAGTTCTCTGGGACCATGCGTCCTGATGGCAGGACGCATTTTTCGACAAAAAAATGCGCGTGATCCCACGCGGCGAACAAGCAAAAATAGGCTGGTCGTCAACGTGTTAATCGTCGGTCGTCTTCAATTAGGGCGCGAACAGCATCAATTTTTTCCTCACAAACTGAAGTGGATGGTCTGCCACTGCGAGCGTCATCTTCAACATCATCGCGTCCATTCTTAAAACGAGTTATCCATTTGTAAACTGCCGATTTCTTCGGGGCATTGTCCCCATAAACTTTTCCTAAAGCATCAATGATTTCACCATTCTTCCACCCAAGCTTCACCATGAATTTGATGTTTGTTCTTGCTTCGATTTTAGCAGAATTCATGTTGCTCTAATGGGGGCTCTCTTCAAACTGACGTCTTCTCCTTCCTAATGCCTAAAGTCGGCTCCTGTTCAGGCATATTATAACACATTAGTAAGAGTTTCTTTTTGTGCAAAGAGATTGAAATCCACGCATATATTCTTTTCAAGCTACACATTACTTTTTCTAAAGCATCAATGATTTCACCATTCTTCCACCCAAGCTTCACCATGAATTTGATGTTTGTTCCTGCTTCGATTTTAGCAGAATTCATGTTGCTCTAATGGGGGCTCTCTTCAAACTGACGTCTTCTCCTTCCTAATGCCTAAAGTCGGCTCCTGTTCAGGCATGTTATAACACGTTAGTAAGAGTTTATTTTTGTGCAAAGAGATTGAAATCCACGCATATATTCTTTTCAAGCTACACATTTTCCACGAACTTTTTGAAGCCCCCTCGTACATCATACCCTTTTCGATCTCAGGACGATCCGGGGGCCTATTTCATGAAATTTCATCAACAAATACAGAAGATGTAATTAATTATCAAACTAAATATTTACTTTACTGACTTGGGATTATTTTACTGACTTGGGAGGGAATCTTAATTCCCGGTTTAAGATCTGTTTTTCCTTTATCTTCGTTACAGACTGAAGTAAGTGACTGAAACGGCATCATTACCACCCGTTTAATTCTTTGTCAGCGGACGGCATAAAGAATTCCTCATTGGCACAGATTTTTCTACTGTGGACAATAATTATAAGGTGAGTGTCTTGGTTCTTCTTTCCATTGACTTATACTTTCTTACCAAGTACAAAAACCCATTACAATTTAAGATCCAGCGTTTGAATATGATTATATTCTTATTCATAACTCTATTCCTCTCAGTAGGTTCACTTTCCTAGAATTGATTGCTATTTGAACTTCCGTTTTACCTCCTATCGATCCACCTTCCCTAAATTCGAAGAGTGACAGAAGATTTGAATAAGTTCCGCTTCTCATAAAATATTCAGTAAAAAAAATATCTGGCAAGAATAGTTGATTATTTTCTTACTGGATTTAGGAGTTGGGCTACGAGATGACATATATACCTCTTTCCTCAACGTGACTTCCATATTGTATTATGTGAAGGAATCAGTGGTACGAAGGGAGACTCATTTTATGCAAGGAAGGGAGGGAGAAGAATTATACCACCTCTTCTCTTTACCTCTACGGCACAGAAACATCATCAGCGAATCACACCCCCAACATCGAACTTAGAATTACAGCATTATTTACATTCATGAGATATACTTTCATGGAGAACAATTTTGCCTAAACAAAAAATGTTTTTTGAAACTAACAACAAATCCATGAAGAAATAGGTATACAAAATTGCCTAATGAAATGTTGATATTGTGAAAAAATAATCGGGCTGTGGAGCAGAGACGATGTTGATATCGTGTTGAAATACATGTCGACCATAAAGTATTGTTCCAAGACATATATTGTGCAATTGTGTACATTCTATGACTAAAGAAGGGCGTAGGCTGGAATCCTAGGAGTCAAATTTAATTGGTTGAAGATAATTGCGGTAACAACATATGAATTCCATAATATGTAATTCAATAATAAATTTGCGATAGTATAAATGGAATTTTACGGATGACTTAGACATCCCATGATCGGTTGTACAAAATTCTAATCAGCTTCAGTTAGGTAAGTAGTAGGGATAATGAACCCGCTGGAAGGACTCCCCCCCTTCTCCGTCAAAACCTCATCCCATCTATTTACATTTCAAGACCAGTTCCAACT